ATGAACAAACTCATCTGCTTTGCTTGTTAATACTATACCATAGCATACTTTGGGTACATAAGACTGGAGACAGGAGTTTATTAAAACAAAAATATTCCAAGAGCGGTAGGAGGGTCAGAGGAGCTGTAGCTTGAAAATTTCTCTTTAGTTTCTAGACTTCCTTTTGTTCACAGTGTTCTCTTGTGCAGAAAGATGTCAAGTGATATATACCCAAACCTGAAGAACTAGAATTTGAGCTTTGTTCACATTTTAATACCTTCAAAATCTCTGCTTGGGAAACATGTTTTATATTTAGGAGTGGAGGAACCTGACCAATTGGAAAGCCAAAAATGACTTCACTTTCCAAAACACACAATGGACTGAGAGGAAGCTTTAATGCAATGGCCATGCACTAGCAGAGGTGAGTCTAAAGTTTAGCTGTGCAAGTCCGAGCCCTGACTTGCATTGGCAAATGCAAAAGACGAAACCACCATGTTTAGTAAATTACTGAAAAAATTCCCAGTTTGTCATCTGGATGCCTGTAAAAGGTGCCGAGTTAAAGCTGCGCTAGGTAGAAAGAAAGAAGGTATATCAAAGAAAGTACCCACTGTAACAAGTCAAGTCGAAGTAAAGTCTCAAGGAGAGACTACCTTCTGTCCCAGTTTGTTGCTTCCTCTCACTTTTACTGTTTCCTTATGACCTGTCACTAGGCAAAAATTTTCACCTTGGATTCCCAAATCTATACACTATCACTCTATTTCTTTAAAAAAAGAAATTAAAAAAATCTATTTTTTTTTTCTGCTATGCAGGTAAAGAATAATTTAACATTAAGTGTTCCAGCTCTGGATTTTCTCATCTGCTCCTGTAGTTTTTATTTTGACTTTTAGAAGTATTCATATTAAGAACACTACCAGCCATAAATAATAAATAATGACTTGAGTACCAGACACCATAAACAAAGAGAAAGTTGAGAGGAAAAAGATGAGGATGAATTGTTTCAGTTTGCCCTAAGCCTTTAAATGCCAAGACTTTTTACATCTGTAGACATAATATTCAGAAGCAGCATTAAAACTGTGCAGAAGGTGAGGATTACTGCTTTGGTCGTTATCTAGAAGGGTAGCGTGGGAGGGAAGGGGGAGAAGGCAGCAGGCAGCCCCAAAAGCATGCACAGGCCAAGATCACCACCTAGTGGTTTACTTAAATTTATCAGACAAACTGTTGTGCCAGAGAAACAAACCATCCAATCCTTTTACAATAATAATCCCTTAACATAAGGATTATATATTCCTTCAGCAATAGGAAAAAAAAAATCAGAACATATGATTTGGTGCAGTACGGTACTTATTACATTGTTGGATTTTTGCTTGTTTTAAAAACAACCAAGAAAAAAAAATCCTTCCATTTATGGAAGATTAATTTGGCAAGGCACCTGTTCTAGTATTCCCTAAACTAAAAATTTAGGTAACTAATAAGTTTAATATTATTTTACCCTGAACAGTTTTTAAAGTAGTTATTTGGGCATTACTTAACAGGGGCAGGAGGTTTTTTTTGCACCGGTGGGACCCTGAAAAAGACAGACTACAAACTCTACGAGAGCAGAAGCATCCCTCCTACATGAGGGCAACAGCCCTGGATGCATGCCTTCTGCAGCACCTGACTGAAGGAGTGGCAGGTGAAGCAATTTGTCTTTAATTCTTCTAGCAGAATACATTATTCTTTTCTTTTGTATCTCACTACTTACTTTCCCTGCCTGGACAGCACTGCCATCACTCAAAATGGTAAGCTTGATGCATGATCTTTGATGTGGATATCTGTATTTTTATGTGCAGAATAACAAACCTCTCCTGCAGATAACAGGTTGAAAATTAGCCTTTCAGAAGAAGCTTGTGCCATCTAACCCTTCTTAGCAGTATTTTTTTGTTAGCAGGCTTTTTTCCCCAGCCCTGAGAAATACACCTTTCTTTGCTCCCTCCCTTTCACACACTAAGACGACCTTTGCTATAACCCAGCGCATCCTAGGTCCTGGCCACCCCATCCCACCTAAGTTCCATGCTTTTGTTTGAAGGTATTCCATAGCTTGTGCCACTCAAGCCATCTACATTATCAAGGAATTTTCACCCACATCTGCTGGGCCTGTCATGTCCCTATCCAGCAGTCATTAACTTCTCAAACACTGTTATGCTTTATCCCTAATCACTCAACTTACTTAGCTTTGTGATAATGGGATTAATTATGCTTTTTTAAATAAAAATAATTATTTAAACCATATCATTTTAGCATGCCAATTTAGTATGTGTATTACCTTGTAATCCTGTTTTTAGATTACTGTTTTCTGCAGTCTTACATTAGTTATAGCCTGTTTGGGGCAGGTCATGTCTGTGCCTGCTAGCACAATGGGGAATAGTCAGAAACTAAAGCTCTGGGTTGCCCACTCCTAGGAACTGGGCTGCACACCTTGCCCGGGTAGTGGCTGAACAAAAAATTAACCAACAGCTCATGCCGAATAACCGGTGGACAAAAAATAACACCTAAATCCTACTAAAGCAGAAGCTACAACCAGTAAGTGTTTGAAATACAAAGGCACGCATTAGCTGCAGCTGCTACAGCACTGAAAAATAGTGCAGTCATTAGAAGCACTCTTTCTCAAGGAAGCATTATTATTTTTTTAATTTTTTATTTTTATTAATAGCATCAGGGACAGTTTAGGCAGCTCTAAAGTAAAACGCAACCCCTGTGCAAAGGTACTGCTCAGCTGACAGGCGCTGTGCAAAGGGGTAACTTTGTCTGGTTTTAGAGTTGTGTTGAAATACACTACATGTTAAACAGGAAGTTATATGCTCAGACAACTGATTACTCTGGCTCCCCTTCTACTGATAAAATTTTAAGCTCCTATTCTACAACAATATTTTCATTCAGCTTTTAACAGTTTTTAAAAACCCCTGCTACTGCCAGTATCTATCACGCCTGGAATGTCAGTAACCAGTGTTGTTCTATAATCCATCAACACAGTTAGGCTGATACATGCCATAATTAATTTGGGCAAAAGGAACATATTTGAAACAAAAATCAGGTCTCCATGCTCTCTAAATAATTTAAATGTGTATCCTACATTACAGTTGAACAAGCTCCACCCACACTATACTTCTGTGCCCAAGCTTACTAGAAATACTTTAAGAAGAGAAATACCAGGAATTATTTATAAAAGAAAGGGTAAAAAACTCCATTATTTACACAAGTATAGCCAGTATGAATTCAATTAAACATGAACATACATATACAATTCTGTATTATACATCTATATTTATATCTACATGTATGTATGTAGACACGTTATATATTTCAGATTATATAAAACTTACTAATGTTGAGCTTTATTCTGGTAACATCAACCTCACCAGGCTAATTAGTTTTGGTATTGAAAAGATGAAACTATTTCTCTTGTGTGTCAGAAAGAGTGAAAGAGATTCGAAAACCTTTCTGTGAAGCAGTGTAAGATGCAGTGGCTCAACACCGTTTCCTAAAAGTAAGCTTCTCAGAATGAAAGACTGTCTGTTCTCCAGGAGAAAATATGTCTTAAAAATAAACACTTTTTTTTTTGCCCCCAAGAAGAATAACAAGTGCCCAAACTAGCTCTGAATGAGCCATTTTGGCACACTAGAAATAGCATTTGGACATCATTCTCCCCAGAGAGGGAGCTCTATTTTGGGAGCGGGGATGACTTACCTTGGAGCAGCTCTGGTGCTTTTTTTGGCTCCTGCTGTCCCCCTGGTTCCCGATGCCCACACAGCTCAGCTCTTCCCCAGGCGTTGCGGCAGCGGTGGAGGGCAGGCAGCCAGCAAGCACTGTGGCCGTGAGGTGTCCCTGCTGTGGGCAGAGGTGGTCTCCAAAAGTACCCAGTTATTATGCAGAGGCACTTAGCCCACACAGGGTACAAAATTAAAGTAGCTCCTTGCTTCTGGCAGTTACTCTGAAAGTCTATACTTTTGCACAATATTGCATTGTACCTTACAGAGGTTCCTCTGGAGTTTATAATCTGAGTATTTAAGCATTTTGAATCTTTTCCTCCAGAATAATTTCCCTTCTTGTGCCTCCACCACTTGGAATAAACACTCATCTTGAAAGGAGCTTTAACTTAGAAATTGAAAAAACCACAACCAAACAAAAAAAAATATCCCCAAATGCACCCAACAACAACAACAAGATATTCCACCACTACTTCAAGATATAACCTGGCTTTATTCTCTCTAAAGCCCCTTAAGTTCTTCATGAAAAATTAAGTATTATGATGCCATCTCTAAAAGCAGTACTTTCAGTCCGCACAGAAGAGATACAGATTTACTGGTGAATGTTCTCAGACTGATTTAATAAAATACAAAGCAAACAAAGCTGTACCTTGTATTTAAAGTAGCCAATAAAAAGCTTACATCTTACTTTGTCAAAACAGCATCTCCAAGAGGTAATGACTAATACACTCATGCTGAATTAGACTTCCTTAAAGACAAAGCACATGTAACAAAAGGTAGAATAAATAGCATCTACATAACTGTCAACAACAAAACCCAAAGAAACTAAATGTAAAAATTTTTACATTATGTTGACTCAGCAAATTTTTCCCAAAACAGCATTCCATTGTGAGCTGTTTTAATCTGACGAACTAAATTAATTTAGTTTTCATTCCTGCAACCAATTTGTTTTCTAAACTATGCATATCCAGTTGCATAAACAAATCTTTATTATAACCACAAAAGCAGGGGCCTCAGTTTCTGTTCTAACTAGGCACTGACATGTTTCATTTGCTCAGGCATTTTTTTCCCCACTAGAATGTAACTATCAGAAACAGAGGCCATATGTATTAAAAAAATGTGTAAAAAAATATTGGAGAAATGAAAGTGTCTCCCACAACACATTTTAGTCTTGTGCCAGCATAGAAAAAAAACCAAACCCCAATAGAACCTATCTATAAAGCAGACATAAGATGCTTGCAGGAACACACCACTACAGTCTAGAACAAAGTGCACCACTTCAGTATTAATTTTAGCTTTATTTTTTGTGTACATCTGTACATTTCAAACAGGTTCACAAAATGTAAAACTTTTATCAGAATATTTCATACAGAGGTCAACGCATTGCTTTATGATTACTTATGAGCACATGCAATAAACTATGGAAAGTTTATGAAAATATTTCAACAGAAAGTTTTAATCAAATAAATGAGCATGAGAAATTGTGTTTGACATTTAAATCTGTATATAAGCTACTACAAGACACTTCCTACCACAGAAAAAAAAAAGATAAAAACTACTTAAAGGCTCTTGAAATCTTACAATTGGACAAGTGGTCCACTGTGCCTCCATTCTAAAACATGGAAGTGGAAATTGTGCACAAGAAAGTTTTACTTCAAATAATTGTCCAACTGTTATTGCTGCTTTTCAAAGAACCTGAAAGCATACTGTGAGAACAGAACTAAACAGCCAAACGGACATGTTTAGATCAGTACTGCAATTGAAATGTAGAAGTTAACTATAAAGGCTTCTCAAAATGTTGTGGGGTTTTTATATGTACATAGAGAACTGTACACAAATAGGGAAATAAAAAAGTTGCTTAAAAAAGAAAATAGTATACAGTATTTACAGCCTAAATATCACCCATTAAAGTACTTTTTTTCAATTGGAGCCAAACTGTTACATGAACATGCAGTACATCCACAACTCAAAATGAAGACCTTTTTTCGCAGTGTAATATAGTTCTGTACAAAGCGTAAATCAACCGTATTCTTCTCCATCACCATTCTTGCTATCTTTGAGCTTCATAATGCCTAGGTCACGATCCTTTAACTCAGGTAACTTCACCAAGTGACAATAAGAACATTATTTCTAAAACAGATTTGTAGAATGCATTCTATTCACGAGACACTTCATGGAGAGATATTATGCTGCATTGTGTATGGTCTAAGCCATGCTTGTTGGAAAACAGCGTTGGAGGGGCACGATTTTGGCAGTGGACTAATGGATACTTTTTCCCTTTTTCCTTTTTAAATATTTTCAAATTCCCTTTATCCTTTCCCCATTATTTGCTCAGCCAAATCCAAATGGTTATAATACTGATCATATTTGTAAAGCCTACAGTGCAACTGTTAAAGTTATCAATATAGATGTCAAATGTTGTAGCCTTTTTCTAACTGTAAAATAGGCATCTATCTTTGGTGGCTTCTGTAAGTAGTTCTGAAGAATTTTATGCTATTCTATATATTGCCACAGTCAAAAGTTTAGTTACAGAAATACCTGATTATCCTCTAACCCCCCAAAACACAAAGGGCTTTCAAACCTTCATTATTTGTATAACAGTTAAGTACATTTCAAACAAGTAAAAACCTCCAGCCAAGCAATTTTAAAAGGTTTTAGATTTTTAGCTCTGATGGCCTCATCAATATACTTTGTATTGATGGATAATCCAAAAACCAGATTTTTACAATGGCAATATTAAATAAACAAACTGAACTTAAAAAGTTAGATCTCAAATCAGAAGGAATGCCATTTATGTCAATCAAATATTACTTTTTTTAATCAAAAATATTTCTTCAGTATTTACTTTGCCTTATAGGTTGGTGAGGTTTTTTTCAGTTCACAAAAGCAGCACAAAAGGACATACTACCCATCCTCTTTAACAGCTGTCATCTTACTAGTATTCATGCAGTAACTTTGTAAAGTGCTCAATAACTACAAGATGAATATTTAGAACTGGAAAAAAAGGTGTGTGCCTGAAAGAAGGTCTTTCTTTAGCTCATAACTTTAGAGTATAATTGTTTTTACACCTGCTATACCAGGAGAACGCCCTAAGCAGTAACATATCTTCTCAGACTTTGAGATATCTTTGTGATTACATTTAAACTTAACGCAGAAACTGATTTCTAGGCACAAGCATGTGAAACAGCATGCTGTCAGGACAGGACACGCTCTCTCTCACAAGGTATCAAATGGTATGTACTCAGGTTAAAGTCTATCTTCTATGACAACTTAATTTTCACCAGAGGATGTGCAGTTAAGTACACAAACTAGGGCTGCCCAGCTGAAGATTTCATCATTGTAACATGGTACAGAGTATTTTTCCCACTGACTTTAAGGGTGTGGTCATATGACTAAGATGTGACCAAAAAATTGACTTTTAACCCAATACTAGGTTTTCAGCTGTCTTAAATTCACCTGTACACAAAGAACACTTATTTCTTCTGAAGCAACAGCTGAGAATTTAAACAGTCTTTTCACCTTGAGCTGCTCCCAATCCAGAGGTTAAAAAAAGGAAATAATTCAAAAGGTATTCTGTCAATATGTGATGCAGTTGCATGTTTAATTCTGGTAGCACTCAAAGTTACGTTCTAGCATGTATATAGATGTAACACTCCATTATAATTTATGAACCGAATTCAGTATTCCAGTTATCTCAAATCGCCTGGAATTATATGAGGTTGCAGCTTTTATCCAAACAACCAAATCTCCACATATTTTCCCTTAACTGAAATACACGTATGATGAAAAAGCATATTTACAGAAACAATAGACTGAAACAAAACTGAAAAAATTCCCACATTCACATTTGTTTTTCTAAGCCTTATTAGTCACATGTTTTTTTTTCCCTTCTCCCTAACCAATTAATTTATACTTCATTACACCTAGGAATATTGTGTCTAAAGAAAAAAAATTAATCACTCATGTGGAATTAGAAATGGATGACGTTGAATGGCTACATACAAAACCATGCAGCTTAATACGCTCATGATATAATATTCCAATTTAGTGCAGGAAAGGCATTATTAGAACACAGTGCATGAAATACATAAATTAAAACAGAAAATAACAATTAAATCAGTTTTTATAGTTATTAGAGCTTAGACTCCATTACAGCTTCCATTCAAATGACATTATATGTGTCTCCCAACCAACAGAATTCAAATAGAAATTGTAACCAAAATAAATAACAATGTGCAATATGTTGAATACTATTTCCTTTAGAGTAATAAAAACAGCGTACTTCAAAAATAGAAAGCTACATTACACAAAATCAGGACTACTCTCTTTGGTCCATGTTGAATGTTCAAATCTGGTTAAGTTATTGGTTTCTTTAAAAAAAAGTGTGAACAGTAAACTTCAAATTATGTCACTAGTCATGCTACACAGATTAGTTTCATAAACTCAGAATTACCCATGAAATGAAAGACGATAATTATTAGGAAATATAATCCCAAGATTAAATTGTACTGATATATTATTTGTTCTTTACTAGAAATTAATCATTAACAATGCACAGAATGTGATAAAGGAGACAATGCAGAGACAGGCAGAGCTATTTGAAGACAGTGCTAAAAGGTCCTGTGTGGACATCTGCACAACACTGCATTGTCCAAAGGGGTCCAGAGTACCATCGGTGCCATTCACACACAAGACATCTTTGTGGTCTAATAGCAAGAGAGAGGGGAAAGGTTATCTGAAATAAGGTTCTTTTTCTCGGGTAAGTTATTTCAATTGTTAGCGTGTGTAAGGTACAGAATACACCCAAAAATATCACCCATGCATATATATACACACACACAAATATATCTATGCATACACTGCACTCTGACCAGAGCACCTTATGTTTCACAAAGCTGTTCCTAAGGATGTGGAATTAAACTCCAAATTTTCACAGACATAAGGCCACTTACATTTCCGTTCACTACTAGAATTAGGCAGTAAGATCATGCCGCCATGATCAAAGAATATTATTTTTCCTCATATATTCCTCACAAGAAATAGTTAAAACAATTTCTGTCAAATACATAACTTTGTCTCTCTTAAGCCACTTCGGCATTATATTACCTGCCCATACATTGATGCCAGGCAATAATACCACATAAAGCAGAGACAACTAAGCACCTAACTGTTCTAAACGTGATTACAATGATCTATGAAATAAAAATTATTTGGAGGAAGGTAACTTTACATCTGCAAAGATGCCTCCTTGTCAAAGGAGGAAAGTTACAATGGCAACAATTTAATTGGTACTGCAATTAAAATTAAAAATTAAGTTCATCAATAATATTTTTTTATATGCATTTCATAAGTTCGCAGTAGTTTGTTCTAGTTTAACTTAGTGAAAGACAGCAAGCCATTGATCAGTGGTAGCCTAATAGCCTCGTACAATAAATAATAATCAAGATGCTCAAGGAAATTTGGAAACTGGGAAGGAGTTTGAGTGTGAGGTGAAGTCATGAGACAATCTGAATTACTGAACACAGTGCTTCATGAAACAGTTGGTTTTGATCCAGACAAGCATTTCCAGGTTGTCAAACAGAAATGTTTAAGTGTCCGTTGAGTAAGACATTATATCAAATAACCAAATTAATTAGAAATGGCAAAAATAGAACAAAAATGAAGTACAGTAATTTTTTTTTAAATGCTTTCCCCTAAAAATATATGTAACAAGGCACATTAGGAGAAATCTCTTCAATAATTTTATTATTCAATTCGACTTAAATACCTGAAACCAGTTCTCATAATTTAAGAAAATGGGGAGTTTAAATTGCCTTTTACAGATGTAATAATAATTTTATTGTCTAAAGTGCAATGATTGTTATGCCAAAAACTATCAGCAGAAAATAAACGACGAGACAAAAAAAATCCAAACCAATAAAAATAAATAAGTTTTTGAAGACATTCAAAATAGTGAGACTATATGTATTGAGCCACATTTTAAAGCAATTCAAAGCCAAAATATAACACTGAAAGGTTTATAAATCTATATTTTACTTTGTTCCCTTCAAAGTCCATAACTTTGTACATTTTCCAAACAAGACTTAAATACTTTTAAAGAAAAAAAAAAAAATCAGCATCCTTAGCAGTTTAAAAAAAAACAGCTTGTGGAATAAAATAAAGGCAGACAGGCTAATTCATTGTAATATTTGAAGCACTAAGCAGTACGGCTGGATTGTAAATTGCATTTTAACCATATTCTTTTATCTGCGCAGTAGGTGCCAGTGGTTTCAACAGTTCAGTAAGTCTTTCTGACATCTTAATAGCAAAAGCTTTGAGCAATTTACTCTTCCTGGCAACATTAAAAGCTGACTGTTGAAAAGCATTCAGTTGAGGAAAGAGGTAAAAAAAAAAATTCCTTATTCCTCACAGAACTTTGTGCCCTTTAAATTTTGCATTTCATAAATAATTAGTAATTAGACTTAAAATTTCTATTCACTCCAAAACATTCACATTTAAGACATTCACATGCACAACACTACTGTCCCTTTTAAACTAGAAAAGCACAAACTCTACTGAAGTCTAAGTATTTCAAAGTTCCAGATATCTTAATCTTTCCAAAGATACAAAGTGTTCAGAAACAAGGTAGTAAATACATTAATGCTGCCCCACTTCCAAACTATTTTATTAAACTCTAGATTATTTTTTTTTTTGGTAGAAAACCACTATATATATTTTATTTTTTTCTCCCTTTCCATTTTCCTCATAGGTGTATTCTCTTAAAGTCTGTTGTATTTGTGTGTTCTTTAAAGAATACATGTAGGGTTAAGAGTCCTACCAGTGCTTAAATAAATATAGGGAGCTTATTTGCAACAAGTAGCCTTTGTGAGGTTTTCAGAAGGGCTGGTAACCATCTTTGTGTTTAAGACAAAACAATTTCAAGGAAAGCATCAATTTAAAATTTGTTTGTGCATACACAACAGATTGTACTTAGTAACCCCCATACAGTCTCCTTAAACTACTGATTTCTGACAAGCTAAACCCATGAAGAAGTGATGTGCTGAACTTCAGAAAACTGCCATGAGCCCTTCTACACATAATGCTGATTACATCAGGGTTGCTAAAGTTGTGGTTCTTAAACCCCATCAATATTCATCTATACTTCAAAACAGACCTAACAGTTGCTTTGGATACTGAATAAAAATATTCAGCATTCAAATAGATTCTGCTAATACAGAAGTCAGTTATCTTGCTATTTTACCCAAACTGAAGTAGGCTCTATGTTCACAGCATTCTTCTACAATAGCAGTTTCAAAGCTTACCCAACCAACGGTTAAGCACTAAACTCCAAGTTTGGCACATGCAGCAATTTTCAGGAGCGTTCCTTTCTTTTATTACAACACTGTTAAGAACAATAAGCCCATCACCAAGCATTAACCCGACTGGCAGCTACTCAAGGTGCTTTATCTCAAACTTCACACACATGGATTGCACCTTGCCTGCGACTGAGGCACGTTAAGGCGCAGTGCAGAAGTACAACAGTTCAGACACTAGAGGACAGCCTGCTGATTTGACTGAATCTCTAGATTTGTAGTGCAGGTTCCACATAGCTTCCTTCCTCTTGCACTAGAATTCAAGTTCATAAGCTGATGAATCCACTTTCAGGAAGCTTCCTTTCAGATTAAAGATTTCTTTAAACTAGTAGATTTTTTTCCCATTCTATATAAGTCTCAAAGCGTTGCAAGAATTCTTGAAAATGAGATAATTAACGTCAGTACTGTCTGTCCAACACCAAAGACAAGAGCTTCTAAGGGAGCCATATTTTTTCCTGCTACTCTGTAAATTCCAGCTACTGCAGCACCTAAAAATCACAAGAAAAACAATGATCAAATCACAGAAAATCCACGGTTGAAATATGTGACAAATTATTTATTGTGTCTATGTCTCAGCTATTTATAGAACATTACCAAATGCTTATTACTCCATGGCATTATGGAATTGTTAGCCTTTCTTGTATTTTTCTAGTTATGCAAGTTCTTCAGGAATGATTTTCCCAAATGAACCAGATTAACTTTTCCAAAATCAGTTTTATTTAAGAAAATTGGATCTTACCTTTTCCCTGTAGACATCTTCAAAAAGTTATTTTTGGGTTTTTTGAGGTTTTTGTTTGTTTGTTGGGTTTTTTTATATTTTTGCATCCTGCTAATTTGCAAAGGTAACAAAGAAAGTCCTCTAAAAATTGACCAAGTCCAAAGTGTGGTTTAATATTGCTTGTGTAAGCACAGAGAAGACAGCAGTAAAACTCTTAGCGTCTACAAAATATCTGTAAACCCACATTTCTCAGCTTCATTTAATATTTCAGTTGAATAACCTGTGTCAGTTCACCTTTGTCTTAACCTACTAAATTGTTAACAATTGTTTAGCAATCAAGCAAAACATGAAAAAGGTCAAAGTATTTCAGTTATCCATGAATGTGCATGAGAGGAAATTTCTAACCAATACGATTAGACTTTGAGGTCTAACACTTGCAAGAGAGACTGTTTTTCTTGTACAGTTGTGTGCAAATTCCCATTTAAAGTATAACATCAAATGGCCAGGATAAACCAGAAACAAAATACTGCACTGCAAAAAAACCATGTGCTACTAACACCCTTTTACTGTCTTTCACATACTGAATTTTTCACATGCATTTAAAGAACAAAAGTCACAGAACGAATGTATAGCTGTGACATCTTGGAGCAAAAACCTGAGAAAAAGATAAGTCTTCATATCAATCAGTGAGAAAAATAACACATTAATTATAAAGAATACTTTCTGCTCAACTTCTGAACCTTTTAAGGACACTAAAACATTCATTCAAGAAAAGAAACTCAGCCTTGTACACAGCTGTGTCTCTACTTGAAAAATTTACTCAATCAGGATCTCAAATGTTCACTTTGGAAGAAAAATTCTATTTAATACTTTCTGAACTGATATTTTTGATGCAGTGCTTGCTTTCCTCGAGTGATGAAAAAACGTTAAGCTTACTGTCATTTATTTCAGAATGAATGAATTTTTCCTGAAGAAAAAACCACATGATTTAATTATAGACCTTCAGTATGTATGGTCTCAGATGCTATCTAATCACAATTAAATGCTTTCAGATATCACAGAGGTTTTTTCAGGCTTAAAGAAAACTGAAAAGCCAAAGTTTTTCAAGTAATAGGCAAGAGTTAAAAATTTGGAATTTTCCTGGTTTTGCACAGTCACTAACAGGAATAGTCTGCTGAAGTGATCAAAACCCTATTAGTGACACAAAAATACATTAAGTCCCAACAGATTTCCTGAAAGTACAATCTGTATCTGAATCATCTGACATCTGAAAGTAACACTTCATTTTTACAAAAATTGTAGGAAGACTAGAATTCACTAATAATTGTAACCATAACAGTATTTACAAACACTATTAATCAGACTGTTAGGTGAGTACATATGGAGTTGTTTGTTTGGGGGGGGGGGGGGGGTTTATTGCTTTTAAAAAAAACATTCTGTACAGTAGATGTTGTCAGAAATATCTCCCCAGAAGGTTAGCCTTATGGTATTTCACTCAGTTACCTTGCATAAGCTTTTTCATCTGTGCCTTGACTATCTGCTCTCAGAATACAAAAGAGATCCTTTAGACTGAGCCCTGTACTGACACTAAAATTATTTTGGTGATTGAATTCTTAAAGTGAATTCAAATCAGCCAGATGGATTACCATAATTTGATGCTATTAGTTAATCAATAACAGAAATTTTTGGCTTCTTGAGGAAACACTGAGATATTCTATAAAATATCAATAATAAAACCATAAAAATTTGGTTGTTTGATAATTATGTATTTATATGCATCAAATAACAGTGTACAATACAGCTCGTAATGCATGAACCAGCACATTTGGCACAGAGCCAAAGTACACTACAAAGGGCTGCCAATGAGGAAAATGAGAATGTGTCACCAAAAAGGGGTGTGCTTGGGGAAAGGAAAAAGAACAACAGATTCTTCTGGATGAAATACAGCTGAAATCCTTGCCTCAAACTGCCTGATATTGATTTGTTCTTGGGTTTGTTTTTGGTTTTTTGTTGTTGGTTTTTTTTTTTTTTTGGGGGGGGGGAAGAGGGTTGATGGTTTTGTTTGTTTGTTTTGACAGTGTCCACTGCTATTTAGTATTTTTTTATATCTTTTAAAATAACTGTTAAGTTCCATGATCTTTCAAAGCCTAGAAAGAGGTTTCTTGCTTTTCTACCTGGCTAGAAGGCCAGAAAGTTTGAACCTGAGCAAAAATAAACTTGTATTATTTAATAATCTATACTGTATTTATTCACCTACACAAATGATGAAGAGAACTGGAAATACAAAATGAAAATCAAAGTCAGTTTGCTATTTTCAATTTCTTATGCACTGGACAAGGCATACCCAAATGACTAAATACTTCAAATTGCATTCCAGTTTGCAGCACAATAGCTGTTAAAAATCCTCTCTTTAGTGTTTTGTCACCATAATTTGTCTTCAGAAGGTCCCCACAGAATTTGTTTCAGTATGAAACAACCCACTGCTGTCCAGAAACAGAAATACCGGAAAGTATTGGGCTATCGAAGTTGCAATGCTCTGTACAAGACCTTTAGGAACCACATAACAAGTCTATAATCTAAGCTTGGAGAAATTCTTGGGTGAATTTACACAAACACAGTACTGCTTACTTGTCTTATGTTTTGACCTGGATGCCAAAGATACAACTGTGTTGCTCCTCTTTTTATGCATAGATAAAAGACAAAGTACTTTAATTTGAGAAACACTGAACCTTCCCCATCACAGAATACTGTAAAAGTCTCTGCTTGGGTATTTCAGCATCACAATTCCTATCTTCTGTTCTTCAGAAATGCTCTTGCACGATTGACCTTTTAAGAGGGCCATTGCCATTTTAATCATAGGATAAAAACCAGCACAACAAGTAAAATAAGGCACTCGGCTGAGTCCTCCTCACCTTAGCAAACAAACAAAAAAAGAAGAGTCATACTGAACTGTACTGTTAAGTGATGAAAATTCTAGGCTGAGAAATATACAGCAATTAAAAGACCCTTTTGAGGAAAGTCTTTTTAAAACTTTTCATGCAATTTGCATTTTTATTTAACCTTGAAAACCAAGAGGCAAGAAGGACTTTCAGTAGCAATAAAAAAGAATGTTGCAAATCATCCATGAATATGTCCAAAGCTGAAGTGATACCACTATTCTGATAAACTGGGCAGTACACAGAAAATGGGAATGAAAGGTAAGGCTCGCCTACAGTTTAAGAAGTCACTAGATTTACAGTTCCTTATCCTCAAAGGCCTTTCAAGTTTGACCATCTTGTCAACAGCACTGAAGATGCTTGGCCAGAAGCTGCTGCCCAGGTTAACGTAGGCCCCATTCAGTCAATTGATTTAATGTTGAGAACCCCTTACCTGCACTGTTTCAGACAACAAAGCACAAACTTCTCTCCTGTGAAAGTAATATTCACTATTTCTTTTCCCTTTCCAGACAGAAAACTCACCATGCTCCTATTTGTGTTGGAAAGCTACTGTAGTCTATTTATAAGTTAGATAAACATAGCTGGATATGATAAAGCCAAAGACTGAATAAAGTATACTACTAATCTTATGGCATATATTTTAGTATTGACAAAGATAATGGAATTTCTTAGGAAACACATAAACACAGTTGCTGATACCAATAACTCTAGATGAAAACAGCTAAGCAGCATTTTCTCAAAACGTTCTTGGCAACTTCACTTGTGTGCTGTATTTGGTCAGGTGTAACACTTCTGCATTTTACTACATAAAATATTTCTGCTTTCTGCAATGTTCTAATAATGAGTATAGGTTTTAGCTATAGCTCTGTGAGCCTTTCAGCACGCTGCTTTAACAGAAAAATGATCAGCATCTTACCTGTGGATGCAATGTCAAGAAATAAAAAGTGTCTAAAATGTATTTTGAGTGGTAGACATTAGACTAACAAGATAAGAAACTCTGTAACAGATCATAGAATCATAGAATAACCCCAACTCTTTCAGCTTGTCTTCACAGGAGAGGTGCTTCAGCCCTCTGATCATCTTTGTGGCCCTCTGCTGGACTTGTTCCAACAGGTCCATGACCTTTCTGTGCTGAGGACTCCAAAGCTGGGGACAGTATTCCAGGTGGGGTCTCACGAGAGCAGAGTGGAGGGGCAGAATCACCTCCCTTAACCTACTGGCCACACTTGTGTTGATGCAGCCCAGGATGCAGTTGGCTTTGTGGGCTGCCAGCACACATTGCCAACTCATGTTGGGCTTCTCATCCACCAACACCCCCAAGTCCTTCTTCTCAGGGCTGCTATCAATCCAACCTCTGCCCAACCTGTATTTGTGTTTGGGATTGTCGTGACCCAGGTGCAGGACCTTGAACTCACACCCCCAAGTCCTTCTTCTCAGGGCTGCTATCAATCCAACCTCTGCCCAACCTGTATTTGTGTTTGGGATTGTCGTGACCCAGGTGCAGGACCTTGAACTCAGCCTGGTTGAACTTCATGAGGTTCACACAGGCATACTTCTCAAGCCAGTCCAGGTCCTCTGGATGGCATCCCTTCCCTCCAGCAAGTCAACCACGCCACGCAACTTGGTGTCATCAGCAAACTTGCTGAGGGTGCACTCAGTCCCACTCAGTCACGTCTCCAACAAAGATGTTGAACAGCACCAGTCCCAGTGATGATCCCTGAGGAACACCACTCATCACTGTCTCCCATTTAGACATTGAGCTGTTGACTGTAACCCTTAGAGTGCAGCCATCCAGCCAGTTCCTGATCCACTGAGTGGTCCATCCATCAAATCCATGTCTCTCCAGTTTAGAGACCAGGATGTCATGCAGGACAGTGTCAAACGCTTTGCATAAGTCCAGGTAGATGATGCCTGTTGCTCTCCCCTTGTCTACCAATGCTGTAGCACATTCATAGAAGGCCAGCAAATTTGTCAGGCATGACTTGCCCGTGGTGAAGTCATGTTGGCTGTCACTAATATCACCTCCTTATTTTCCATGTGCCTTAGCAGTCATTCCAGGAGGATCTGCTCCATGAGCTTGCCAGGCACAGAGGGGTCTTTTTGTCTAACTTCTTGAAAAGCATTTTATCTAGAACAGCAGCATAGCTTGCTTTATATTATTTTTTTCCTTAGAAGGGGGAAGTCTAATGGCCTTCCTCCATCTTTCCTCCCTACCCCAAATAAACAAGAAAGTAACATTCTGGCCAAGCCAAAACTGGGAAGTTCTTTCAAATCCATGAGTCAAATGTAACTTCTCCAGACAAACAAATTTTCTTAGCTACAAATCACTACCCTACATTGCGCCTTTATTTCTTTTAAAAGAGCAATATCCTATTCAGGTGCAATTTAAGTGCCTCCAGCAGGCCCAAGGAAACAAGTAGGAATTCAGCCTTGCCACCAATGGAATCAGGACCTCATTTCCAAGAGAAACTCATCACTTGAAGAGTGCTAAGAGGTGATCTTGATCAGAAACATTTGACCAAAAAAAATGTACTCTTCCTGTTCCCCAGAAGATATTACCTGCTGACCATACCCCTTTTGAATAGCTTGGTACTCAACATTTACAAAATGAAGAGTAGGATGGTTTCTGTGCTCCTCTAACAATTTATAGTAGTTTTATCTTTGCACAACAGAAGAGCAACTCAGTTGTCATTATCATTAGGATAGCTATATAACTAAGGCAAAATTCTTAATAAACAATTAACAAATCACTAAACAGAAGTTCTTTGCTTTTGTTTAGGAAGTTAGATGTTAAGTAAGAAAGAGAGAAAGAAACAAAAACAAAAGACAGACTTACTGGTTATCATTGCTCCAGTTATAGAGCCCAGAAATCCAATGCTGACCACAATGACAGAGATCAGCCTCCCCTGCCTATGCCTCTGCAGCATCACAAACATTAATACTCCCACAGCACCATGGACAAAGAGAGAGGAGAAGAGAGCCCAGAGGAAAACCCAGTACCACATCTCTGAAAGAAAGCAGTCAAACAAAGGGTTAATATTTCTGAGACAATAACTTTATCAGTAAGAAACTTTAAAACATTGCATACAATCGACAGTAAGAGAAAAACAATACTGATTTCCATCTTAAAAGGAGTACACGTGACACCAGCATATGCTCAAGAAACTTTCCCCCCTTTCAGCATAAAGGAATAACTCTATTACGACCAAAAGATTATAAAAAGGATTTGGCACAATTATTGATTCAGATATATATATATTATTACAGTAACTCCATCATTCTTATAATGGTTTCTTTAAACATTAATTGCAATTTCTTACTAGATATTGCAACTACTCTGCAGAATGCAGTATTCTCAGAAACAAAGACTGAACCAGGGACAAGTCAAGCACTGGGGGGGGAGCTTGTGGTTTGTTTTGGTGTGTTTTGTTTTTTTTTTAAAACAGACGAGATCGGGTAACATCAAATGGGAAAACCGAGATTTAAAACTTCAGTTTATCTACCTAGGATCTGTAATAGAATATTTTATCAAATAAGCTTCAAAGGCAAAAATAAAACCAATACAATTCTAACAAGAAATTTTAACAGGCCTAACTCCTTGGTTCTAACTGCTTAGCACAGAGCTTCATAGAGACAGGTAGTCACTATTATTTAAATTACTAAGCAAGGACAAGAGACGATGAGAATTTGTGAAGTACAAACATTTCCCTGAAGCATACCAGCCATGATCATACCCTTCAAAGAAAAGAGCATGAACCATCAACAAAGCTACATAAGCATTAAAAAACCTCTCTCACTTGATTGCAATTTTCTATAAACATTTATTGTAAGTCAAAAGGGTGCAGAAATGCAACAAAATGGAGAAAAAATATTTTTTTCCCCCCCCAAGTCAACGACAGTGAGTATATATCAACACAGAATTCAGGAAATTTGGGCACTTTTTCCTGGTGGACATAATCCCATGAAACTGTCATTAATTCAGAGATTTTGTTGCAGTTCCCTCTCAAAAATAAAAAAAGAAAACAAACCACCAGTTTCCTTACAAGAGCAGGATACTTACTGTCTATGAAGTGAGCTTGACACACATCACTCATTTGAGCAGAAATACTACCCAATAGCTAACTTAACAATACTCAGCTCAAACAAAACATACTGTGAAAGGATGCTGAGAAAGAATGTTTGCTAGACAATAACCACAGTCCTTTAAATCTAATGTCAATATTGTACGTATACCTATATCACAAATACAGTTTAAGCTTTTTCATTTAGCAGTACTTTGAGAGTAGGCTCAACCCTTCCCCTTTCATACAGGCATAAAAGGCAGAATTATGTCATAAGACTTACAGCTTCTCTAAATTATAGTAACCAAAAGGCTCTCTTAGCAAAGTGGTGAGGAAAGTGGGTGGTAAACATACATTCAGTTAATACTAACAGCTATAGTTCAAGTTGTAACTTCTCTAAGTGCTTGGACACACACCCATATATACTGAGGGTGGCTCCAAGCGGCTCTCCTTAGATCCTCCATCCCTTCACCTCTGGCCCCAAGTTGAGTGTCAAAAATCTTTGCAAAAGGACAATGATCACAGCACTGTTCTACTAAACATCACATCATTCTCAGAAGCTACTGTGACAAAACAATGGCAAGAATGCCAAGCAGTCACTCTACACACACCTGATAAAACCTCTCACTAACGTTAGGGAAGATTGACCAATTGCTGATCTAATCTGCCACAGTCATGGATAGTTTGGAAGAGCCTCTCCTGCCATCCTAACAGGCCTTGTCTTTACTAACACAGCTTGGGTATTCCCATTGTTTTTTTTCTAGTTGAAGCAAATAAGCAATGAGATTAATGAAAAGATCTATCAATATAGAACCTGGCAGCCCTGCTAGACCTACAGTTTGACCGTAGGTAAATAAGCCTTAGGAGATTGGGAAAAAAGTTTACTTTCTTGCAAAGGCAAATCACATACAACTTTGGGCAGGAAAATCCTGTCAGGAAGGCATACTCTCATTCTAGTGTACATGAGAAAAGCCACCAGGGAAGACCCTTTCATTGAAAAAAAAGTCACAAAACCAGATTCCTAACAGCCCAAAACACTATTCTATCAAAATAATAAAAACTAAGCTCCTGTCCCATGATGGATCATTTCCAAGTAGCTGACACTTTTAGAAGTATGGACTGAGCAGACCTGAGCGATACACTGAACAGGTCCTCTAGTCTAAACTGCTTTGTCAACACTGGCAGAGAAAAAACACAAGGTCTATGTTCCACTTTAACTCTTGTTCTCCATGGTTATTCAGATAGTAAAGAACTCCAATACAGGAATTAAGAACATATCTAGAAGGCAAAAGCAAGCATTTCCTTGCTTGCATATGTTGATCTCTGAAGACCTTCAATCCTAGCAGACGATACATGCCTATCTTAGATCTTCCACTTTAGTTCTCCAGAGTAATGTGGCTGAGCCCATCTCCCAGATTATTCAGAGAAACACAAAACTGAATTGCTGGCAGGTCAATGTGATGCTGAATGCACCACTTCAAAAGATAAATTGTTTTTACCCAGAAGAGGATTATTTGCCTTGTTTGCCAGTAAATACTGCAGTGGAGATGCTAGTTATTTTCTGGACACAGAAAATATTTCTGTGCAATATTTCAAGTCTGCAGTTGAAGAAAACCCTTGGTTCTTAAGTAAGGTTATATGACAACTGCAGGCTTCAAAGATTGCCAAACACTCCATAACTATACCAATGGCGTATTGATTAGTATTATCTAAAAATCTCTTCCATAGTCTAAAAAAAAACTTCTGGAAGGTGTGCTGTTGAGGATACTGAATTCAGGCAGGTATCAAATGATTTAATAAAACTGCATAACACTGACACAAACTTGTCTCCATTTAACATGAAGCCCAAGAACAGAAGAGACAGGGTTATTTCAGGTGAGAAGGGACCTGCAATTATGGCAGCCTGTTCAGCAGCCAGTTATTCTGAAGTGAACAGCCAATACATAGATTGCTCTGGGGAGGAGAAACAAAGCTATTGACATTGTCTTTCTGCAAACACATCTGAGGGACAGTCCCAGGACAATGAAAGCTGCACTTCCATTCTCTCTTAAAACGCTATTGCAGCCGAAAAGCTTGAAACTGGACCAGAAAAGTCTGTTGGAATCTGATTCAGACACTGTCATTCCCTGTCATTTCCACAGGGTTTACCAGGCACTGCATTACCTTTTAGGAAATCAGTGCTTGTGGTCCTTGCCAACCCTCACCAAGTAGAAGAGAGAAGCAATTTCCAGTCTTAGGAAGACTGGTTAAGATTACTATATTTTCAGAAGAAAAGGAAAAACTAACTACTCCTCTGTAACTAAGAAACCAAAAATATTTACAAACCCCTACACAACAAAATAGCTTCATAGTCAGTAACTATCTCGGGTCTTATTTACATTCCAAGTAAGACTCAAGGAAAATTAGCATCACCCCTCACTTTATATTTAGGGCAGGAGACATGAGAATAGAACCAGCCCCAAATGTCCTGTTGGATAAAGGAATATAAATTTGAGTTCTTTGGTACAGAGTTTCTTCTCCTACTTCTTAAGAGCAATACACATATTGAATGCATTCAAAAGGAAATTAGAGAACATCCAGAAATATTCCTTGTTCCACACAAATGCAGCTGCAGCATTTAAAGAAACCATCACTTCACAGAGGCTTAGGTTTCCAAGTCAAGAGCATTGTAAAGTCAGTGACACAAGACATACAGGTAGTGTTACATATGCCCGCAATAATCCAGTACCTCCTTATTATAAATTATTCACAATAGGTTATCATTTTGCCAAATTCACTGCAGATGCTAAATCTTGTAGGTGTTTACTTACAACAGTTGGAGGGGAGGGAGGCAGAGGGAAGGAACGCCTTCGCGTCCAGCTGAAGATAAGAGGGAGGAAGGACCAAAAATTTGTTTATTTGGGAAGGAGACTAATGGGGAAGTGACAGGTGTAAACAGAAGGGTTGGGGACATAGACCCATGACACTCCTATTTGCAGAAGATGGGGAGAAGGGCGAGGGACACAGCAAGCAGTTGAGGACTGGGTAACTCTCTTTATCCTGTAACTAGGCAAATAACTTACAGATCATCTTCTATTTGGAGTTGCTTTTTATTTGGGCAACTCCATCAAGTACATATACTCTAGAGTATTTACTCACCACCAATTTACATATCTAAATTTGTTAAATGAAAAAGCTTTTCAGCTGCTTATTTACCAAGTCACTAGACAGAGTTAAGAACAGAGACAGAAGAAATATTTTTGTCCTCCTCTCCCACACATTCTTGTTAAAAGTTCTCACCTGCTGCAACAAGAATTAGATTTTAAAAGGGAAGGAAGAGAAAAGTCTCCCTGAACAGGAAACAAAGTACAGTTCTGCCACTGTCTTGTGGTTGGAACTATTCTTGTATCTTCCCTCAGTACCAAGATACCTCTAATTTCCTAACGATTTGTTATTGTTGTGGGTGGGTTCGTTTGTTTGTTTTTGGTTGGTTTGTTGTTTTGTGTTTGGTTTTTTTACTTTGCACGGTTGATATTAGCAAGGAATTGGCAATAATTTATATTGTTGCATCCTGACACAAAATAGAGAAAAAAAATAATCACACTACTCAACAAATACTCTGGCATGGTAACTTGAAATTGGTAACTTGATCACACAAAGCTTCTTAGTCATTGATTTAGATAATACCTTTCTCTTGCAAAGTTGGCTTTTTCTAGTGAGGGACTCAATGAAACACAGTAACATATTTGCCAGGAAACTTATATAATAGAAAAAAATGGAGTCTTTATAATCATAATTCATGAACCTTTCATCACAGTCATCTTTGTCATGTTAAAGTAGCTGGTATATATGAAAGATCTGCAATTCAGAGAATTGTATCAATTGATTATTTCACATAAATGTTTCCTGTTCTTCAGCTAGATACCACACATTTATTAAGTAAAGTGACGGGCTATTTATTAGCAATTCTTCTGAATACAAAAAT